AAATTTAACAGTTTTCGTGAATTTTTGTCTTGCTCTAGTTATCAGCTAAGACGTTGATTGGCATAATCTTCAGTTGCACGTTAAATACATTTTTTACTGTTTATTCATGCAGAGCGTTGTCATTACTTCGCAGTATATAGTACTGAATTGTGGACAAATGGATGACCAAATAAAAATTGTGAAGCCTTAATAAATCAAAGATACTGGCCCAACTTGACATTCGGATACTCGAAAATATGATAACCGAGATTACCTTGAGTTAATGTTTTAGACAATTTCTATAATATGATGATAAAGAGCAGTGTGCTCACGGATAATAATAATGCAAGATTTGATAAAGGTAAGCTTTATTTCCGGGAAATTGGTTTTATTTGATAGCTTTTGAAATCGTGGGCTCAGGCAGCTTATCACGTCTGTTAAATTTTATAATCTAATCTTCTGTTCTTCTAATCTTCGAGATAAGGACGACGCTTGACTCAATTACATTTATGCTATTAAAAAATGTTAAAACTTCTGAACGATATAATATACTTCATACTATTTCACAAAACGAATACGTGCTCTTTTTGTGCTCGCGACGTATACTAACTACGTGCGCCAGCTAACGACTATGTGTAGGAAACTTGAGAAATAATTTCATATTTAAAATAATTTCATATCTTACGTAGCCCGAAACACAATGCGGGCAGTTTGATTGCTAGATCAAATATAAATAAGGCCATAAAAAGTTTGATGATGAAAAATTTATTCTTTTATTATATTTGGATTTGGCACGTTGAAGGTTTTCTTTATGGCTCACTTTAGGTCGAGAGGCCGCCTTATTACTTTTCAAGTCATCAAAGAAATGGTGTTGAGCTAACTGCTGATGACCAACCAGGTAGAGTCATAGTTCGGCCTTTGCCTGTCACGCCTTAAATATTTAGAAAAGAATAGAGAAAATCATTTCGGTTTAAATTAACTCGGTACTACATTTGGAAACAACAACACATTGTTAATACAAAGAACGGCTTCCACTGTAATATTTTTCCGAAATATTCACAGTTTGTATTGTTATCGAGGGTTTCATATTCAAGTATTGCCTAAAAAAAGGCATTCGGAGGGTTAAGGGTATTCACCCATTTAACGTTATATGTAAACAACCGTCCGAATAATCTTTTATCAAATGAACAATGGTATCACAAACGGTACCAACTCTATTTCGACAGGATAGTGATGTTATATGGGCATTACGATTAAAAGGATAATCTTTAGTATAAGTTAACGACCGTTAAAGCAGTACGGTGACATGAAATGAATGCCTGCTGTATAAGAAAAAATGTTTCTAGTCAGCTGATACGTTATCTGTAGTGCCTTAACGAATGATTTACACAATCGTAAAGTTTAATATATGAATTTTCATTGCTATATTACACTACATTCCAATATATTGGTTGTTTACATCCATCGATTCTGATATCGTTTATAGCGCTCACAAATATTACTTCGAAACATTTAAATTCATAAATTTTCAATAATAATCCTTGAACATATCAGCAAATTCCCTCATTTCCCTTCATCCTAATTCTCAACAAAGGCGCACAGTAAATTATTCTCTGAATAATGTCCTATGGTGGAGTCTGAACGTCTCGTCCACATCCCAGTGAAAATTTACAGACGCGGCAGCTTCTGATTTGGGTTCCCAGAAGCTGGGGCGACTCTAAATTTTGTTAGGGTGCAGCACGCTGGTGCGCAGCATTGGTCATCCCTTTGGCACGTCGTCCCCGCTCCCCGCCACTGCAGCCACTACAGGACAGTGATGCGTATCTTGAGCGCATCCGTTGAACAAGTTATGTGGAACGGCAGGCAACAGAATTTGCAGACCGTCGTCGTTTCCTTTGAGTTTGAACCTTCCGCAGCCAGAATTGAGTTGTCACAAAGTAGAATTCAGTTGTCACAAAATTTACACTTCAATAGAAATAGACCGAAATTTCTACCTCATTCTCCCATTAAGAGCGCAGCCGTTGGCCACGAAGTTAATATCTTATAATGAACACTGCAAAGCTACAAGATCGCCCTTCAGTAATCGCCTCGTGCAATGTTGGACAAAACTTGATACGAAATTTGGAAATTGCGAACCAACTGACACTAGTATTGGATCCATGGGAGATAATTTCCGAGGTTTGACACACACTGGCAGTATCCTGCCGAATTCGTCGCCAGGGGTGAAATAAAAGGTCAGCGTATTTGTAAAATAGAGGCAGTTGGCCGTTCAGTTGATGCGAGTTCCAACTCGTGGAAGCATCATGCAACGCCTTTTAACCTCGCTCGTTAACCTATGCCCGCTCGTTTGAGAGAGAAAAGTTCAAGGCTTATGTGGAACGCACAGGAGGAATCTGCGACAATTGTTAGGACAAAAATGTGTGACTGATGGAGGTGCGCAGAACCTCTGCCTGCCTCAATAACTTAGATCATAATAACGGTGATTACTAAGAATACAACTTGAGCATTCTACACAGAGGTTTTAAGCGCATAGTCATTGACAGTTTATCAGCATTTCATCTCAAGTTCTTTAGTATGGGATGAGGGATAGAAACGTCAGATGCGAGATCTTGCAGACGTTCAGAACCAAGCTAAAGCGCCAGCGGCTCAGGGCGGGCTAAGAATAGCGCAGCCCTGTGAATCACCCAGATATATCATGTGTATCCTGGTGCAACATTATTTTTATGTTGGCACCGGTAATGACAGGAATGTATGGACAGTTCGACAATGCCTTCATGGAGCTTGATCTCCTTCAATTGTCAAGTTTCTACCCTCTCAAGTTTCTCAAGTCAACTTCAAAACTTCTGACGAGGAAACCTGCTTAGTGATGAAACTTACCTTCAATTGACGTCAATCTTATAACAATTATAGGAAATTTTGTGCATCGGTAGTCTAGTAATCCTCTCGAATTAGTGCGTAATGAGTTAGACATTTTATGAAGAAGTTGGAATAAATACACAATGTGGAAGAGAAAAATCATTTTAAATGATTATTTTATTTTTTATGTTATTTTATTGACACTCAAGATTGCACTCATTGTTAAAATTACATTCTGACTTATGAATAAAAAAAAATGGAACCAAAATAAACAAATAAAATTTTGAAGCTTAGCAACAAAAATAGAGGAACAAATTTTCAAGTCTTTGAACAATTAGACGTAACAATTTTCATGTTCATAGATTACTTCAAATGGTTTCTAACTGGAATTACCAATTATTTTTTTTCTAATTCGTTTTTCTGTATTCATATGTGGACAAGTAATTACGTACAACGAAGGCATCATGATTGTTTAAGGTTTTTAAACGTCTACTTTTTTAGGTAATTTCTGTTAACCAGAAATTACTGAACAATTCTGTTCTTTGTTCCTGCAATCTTCCCAAACTAATGCACTGCTAACCGAACTTGATATAAAACGCTTTTAAATAAGCTGCAATTCTGCAAGATTACAAAGTCAAATCCGCCATCGAATAAATACAATGTTGCTGCGAAATATTCTTTTCCGAGTATCCGAGTGCTTGTATAGTCAACAAACACTCGGAGAAGAGAGGGAAATTTCGTCCTATTAGCTAGGCACTTTTCGCCCCTGCGTGGATCATATGGACTCAGTTTGGCTTTCTGCACGTGCCGTTCGTAAACAAGTAGGTCGTTATTTGGACAATATGAACCATTCTTTTTCTGAGTGTACAATCATATCTTTTAGAGCGACAACGGAAACGAAGTACCAACAGTAGCAAAGGTTAGTCATTATAATTGGCAATGCATGCCCATCAATATCAATTTGTGTTCTACAGCCTGAGTTAGTACGACACTTTTCGCAGTTGCGTATTCCCTCATCATGAACTATCCGAACCTCATGACCACTCACTCAAGTTTTAACAGAGGTTTTAACCTCTGTTAGGTGTAAACCTCTGTATAGGTGTAAAGCAGCATCGTTAGTCGTTAAGAAAAGTGGAATGTATCCTCACTTATAGGCACAACTGAATTTTTAAAGACTGAACTTCATTAGTTTTGCAGCCATGGTAGGATTATTTGAGTCAGGAGTCCATTTTTCAGTCATGAATCCATTTTCAAAGTAATATAAAATAATTTTCCAGACAAATTTTGCGCTGTGAACTTTTAGAGGCTGCCAGATGCTCGATCACCTATGGGAAAGACGAGGTCTTCACAATACCGAGCGAGACAATAGTGAAGGATGTCGCTCGATTGCTTGAATCGCAAATTAATCAGAAATCCCATTAAAATTCCGTTTTTAAATATACATAAATTTAAATAATAACTGCAATTAAATATTTTCTCATTGAGTAAAATGTAAACCAATCAATTTTAACTTGTTAATCTAGGTCCCCCCTTCCTTTTTTCTGTGTCTTATGATTCCATCACTAAATTAAAATTTGATCAAGATAATATCTCGACACGATTGTATTTCAGGGGGTCGGGACATACGCACCAGAACAGCCTCCAAATATTTTTGATTTCCTGTCAATTCAATCCCAAAATGTCTATAGCTCCGTCACTAGTGCCTGGTGAGCGAAGAGAACTTTGCTGCTAAAATGTTGAAAAGAGAGTCAAGAGTGATAATATAAATGTATGCAAATAGTGTCGAAGAATATAAAATATTGAGCTATGTTGTTTAATTCATTTGAGCTATGTTGTTTATGGGATTCAAATTATTGACACGACAAAAATATCAAAGCTTCAACATTAGTTTTCACGTGAATTTTGTGAGTCAGATCAGAGCTGTTTAGTTTTACGCTGCTATGGACTCAACATTTTCCACAATGCATTTTATTTCTGTATCAACATTACAAAGCAAGACTGACTGGATTATTTCAATCTATGGTTTCGGCTTTTCATTTATTTTGTTGCATTGAATCTTGAATAAAACATTTTTTGCTGTAATAACTTTTGAGTGGTGTGCGTATCCACGATACCTTGCTACCCCATGTAAAGCGACGCCGCGAATTGGCTGCTGTGCTCTTCGGTTTTGCTGCTACTCGCGCTACAACAATAGGGCTACACTAATATGTTGAAAAAGCCAAAGAATGAGGAAAGAATGACTAATAATAATTCGGATGATGATTGTACAGCAGATGAACTACCTGATATTGATGCTGGTAACTGTTTCAAAAAATTGAAAAGAACTGAACTTGCCTGTGAAGCTCCAATGATTGAAAACCTGGAGGAACTTCCAGATGTATATTGCATGCAATCTCCATCACAATATGATCAAAAGGAAAGTCAAACTTCCAAGGCATCTGATGATCAAGTTAATAATACATCACCTGTACTGAAGCCAGAAAAGGTATCCAAGACTGATCCTCATGCATTTCCTTTGCGCAAGAAAAGATTATGTAAGCCGTGGGATGAGTACTCTGTGACCTTGCCATCAAAGTCTGATGGCAAGACCTTAATTTTTACCAGGAAACCCACCTTCAGTTTGGCAGGCTCGTCAAGAGATACAGCAGAAGAGACTTCAGCTCGGTGTTATCAGAACTACTTGTGGTGCAAAAAACGCATTGCTGACTATGACCGTAAGTTACGTGAGCAGTTCACCGACATTGACAGCGATGACAGCATTGAGCACTACAAGAGGGAAGCTGACCGTAGACGTTGGATGGATAAAAAAGCCATTCTCTCTGAGAGGATAAAGAATCTTGTGGCACTCAATGGAGGGACTTTTGATGTTGACTTTGCTCTCAAAAATATAGACGATTCTTGTGATGATCTTCCTAGTCTGTATCACTCTTCTTCATGTGCTGCAGTGAACACCATGAATGACGTGATTTTTACCAGGAAACCCACCTTCAGTTTGGCAGGCTCGTCAAGAGATACAGCAGAAGAGACTTCAGCTCGGTATTATCAGAACTACTTGCGGTGCAAAAGACGCAGTGCTGACTATGTTGATAGATATGAACGCATAGACGATACTGAGCGAAGCTCCCGCAGTGACAAGCCAACCTCTGCCGCTCCTCCTGCTCCTGCGAAGTCCAAAGCTTCGTCGTCTACAGGGAATGACTCCGAGATATCATGTCCAATATGCTCCGATATTTTGATGGACATTAAGGAACGTCGTGGGCACCTCGTGTCGACCGTGTGTGGTCACCTCTTCTGTGAGGTGTGTCTGGACGCGGCCGTGCGCCGCACCCAGCAATGTCCTACTTGCCGGCGCCGTCTCACCAAACGCCAGTTTCATAAACTTTTCATTTAATCAGTCATTTAAATCCTATCATCGAAACCCGTCATTGATGGTGGAACTTGTTGTCAATCGTGACCTACAAAAGCAAGCGAATAGGATGCAATTCCGAATCATCCGTTCTACCATGCCCTTGCTTAATTGGCATTTAATTGATAATAGATCGATTTAACATCAAGTTTGACGAAATTACGTCTGTGTCTTCAGATTTTCAACGTGTGGTGCGTGTGATAGTACCTTCAGATGTGCATTGTACACGGTTTGAATGATTGTCTTGAATTAACCGCTTGGGTTCTTGTGTTAATGTCACCATTTTCCATCCATGATTAATTTATTTGCCGAGTCAGGTATTGTATTCATATCAAATGATTGTATTTTAGTATTGAACTAAAATGCTAGTGCTCATTTTATTGATAAAAACATGGTGATTATGTCGAGCCAGGAGCTCCGAAATTGTTCATACTCGTAAACAATAATGTTGATTTATAATTTTTGATTTTTTGAAAATTCCATAATGATTTGTTTAAGTTTAATTTTTCTTCAGATGGCCTTCACTTCTTGCGTCAATTTACGCTTGTGTTGAGCTACCAGAATTGGTTTCATAACACGAATTTCATGTCGTGTAAGTTGTTTATTTTTGTGGGTACGAGGTGACAAGGTTCCTTGTATACGTGGATTTCACCCCAGACTATGATGTTAGTCATGGCCAAGTTTACTGTTAAAAGTACGGCACATAGGAATTATGTCATACAAGTTTATGGAAAGATTTTTATATTTCAAACAGTCATCAAGTTTTATGTATTATCTTCTTCAATTTTTTGTTTAGCTCGGTGTTGATATATTAGCATAGTTTAGGTATGATTGTAAAAACGTTTCTATTAGTGCTCGATTTTTTGTGTGCTTTCTCGAATGTTTTTTTTCTTTGTCACCGACCTATGTTGCATCTAAGTTCTTTAATTTATCTTCAATGATATTTAACCCAATTATATTATTATATGCTTAGAGGAAATGTAGCAAATAATATTCTGAACCATATTTGGTGATCGAACCTTCTCTTATTCGAAGTTATCAAGAATATTAAGAGCGAGATGCAGCCAAGCGTGCCAGCTTCCTCCAACCACAGTGTAATTACATTTACATGTGATGGAAATTCAATCTTCAAGTTGACAATTTGCGAACCATTTATTTTTTGTGAGGTTTAAATTGTATAGTATTTTTCCATATTTTTTTCCATAAACATAACTATTATGTTTTTTCGTGAATTGTACCTATAGCGTGACCAGGGCAGCTAAGGTGAGACTTCTGTAAGCCTTATGCATTATCTTATTCTCGAACAAATTCTTGTACATTCACGCTGAGAAATATCTTGCTAGTACCTACCCATCACTGTCAGCTGCTGACAACAGAGTACTGACAACTGCGTACCTACAACTGCAGGCACCGACAGCTGCCCATTTATATCTTATATCAAATTGAAATTGAAAAGGTTGCTGTTTCGCGCTAGCTATACCAGTAGGTATAATGGGTCGTAAAGCCATATGGAATCTAAATGAACTCTGGAATGCCGCAAGGAATCTATCTCTTAACCTCTAAACTGTCAGTGAATTTTTAGCCGTTTCCAGGAATGAAGTGGGGCAAGCAAAGTAGAATGGCTAACAATATTTATTAATCGGAGAGAGAATGGCAAATAAATACACCACGTCACAGAGCTCAGCCAACCGTCGACCCATCTCATCGCCCCCTCACAGGTTCCCTGTAAATTACAGAAACAGACACTTGATAGATTTAAAGGAACATAATGCATAAATTATTATTTGAGCAATTATATTCATTACACTACTGGATGGCGAGGCCAATAAGTGTAGATAAGAGATTACTGAATCAGGTTCCTTAGAGTCCCCAAAATAATATTGGCTGAAGGCCAGCAATCAATTGGCCAACCCTTTCCCGTACCTCGAATAGTTCGTAGGATTTGAAGTACAATGAAGGCCTCCAGTAGTAGACTCCGGGACAGTCTCCGCATATAATGCTCCGCGACCGTCAACCGTCTCAGGTAAGCGCGTGTGGCAGGTGGAGTAGAGCGGTAGCGTAAGGTGTGCTCTGGGCCAGGTCAGTAGATAGTCCGCTGTAGGAAGACTAAAGGGAACCGAGCAGGCCTTGCAGTTTTCTTCTCAAGACGGAAATTTAAAGAAGACGGGAAAATAATTGGCCACAAGAGATCTTTACTGAATTGACTATGAAAATTTTGTACTCGTCACAATGTAAAATTGTGCATTGGGCCCCGCCATTAGAAGCTTTTGAATGAAAGTCTAAATTCTAAAAGGTTCTAAATTACGATGCTTAATCATATCACTAGGTAATAGTGGTTAAATTTTACTAAGCTAGGGAGTTGAAGAACTGACTGCTTTCAAGACAACGTGAATACCTTAGAACTAAAGCCTTTACCTGTAACGGCAAGCATGGTCAAACAGAAGAGCCAGCTTGCTGGAAAACGCTTAAGAAACGCTGGAAACGCCTTACGGGCTTACACTATTACAGCAGGCATGGTCAAATTTACAACCAGCTTACTGGAAAATTCTTATGATAAATGCCTTTTAGGCTTTTAGCTAAATCCTTGAAAGCAGCAGTAGCGTGCTTAGCAGCTCGACGTTCCGGTCGCTGCATTGGCTGGGCGGCTTGCTCAGCAACAGACGAGGTTTGTATACAAGAAGGGTTGCCCTTCTCGAGCATAATTAGGTCGGTCGTATGACGTCTAATGGTCTCGCCATTGGCTTTCGCAGCTCTGCAGCAACAACTCCGTTAATATCATTCATTTCAACACTAGTTACCACCCCTACAAGATATGAAAAAGGTTTTGTCAACGCTTGCTTAACAGCAACATCACCAACCTGAAGGGGCAAATAATTTTTATGTTTGTATCGACCCGATTTATAGGACGATAAATCCCGCAGATTCTGAAGGAATGGACCATAATACAGGCGGTTAATAAACATATCAGCTAGTAACAGCCTCAGCAGAAAATAATATAAATATTAGTGAAACGCCTTTTTTGAAGATTCCCTTTCTCACGTTTTCTTTCAATTAGAATAGAATAGAATAGAACAGAAGTGTCGGCACTGAAGAAATAGGCCCATGGCCTGTTGCCGATTCTTGAATTTTTTCGTGACTTGATTCACAAGGGATCCAGCCTTTGGAACCCGATCTTTCCATAACTGACGATTGATTGAGTTAGCTGCTGGACTTATTGCTGCTAGTCCGTAATTTGCTAGGCATTTTAAGACTGAACATATGCTCCTGCATAGCTTCGTCTGGACTTATTGCCTGGTCCGTAATTTGCTAGGCATTTTAAGACTGAACATATGCTTCTGCATGGCTTCGTCTAGTCTGTTCTTGATGGCGTTCATATTCGGAGCGTCAACGATGCTATCAGGGAGGCTGTTCCACATGTCTGTGACTCGAAGCGAGAAGAAATGTTGTCGCGTGGATGTGTTACAACGCAGTTTTTTTAGTTTATAGCCGTGGCCCCTGGTGTTGGTTCTTGTTTCAAATTCTAGTAATCCTTCTGGGACCTTGTATAAGCCATGAGTATACTTGTATGCTTCATTGAGTTCCCCACGCAGACGTCGATAACTGAGGCTTGGAAGCTTCATAATCTTTAATCTTTCCTCATAGGACTTGCCTTTCAAGCCCGGAATTATCCTTGTTGCACGTCTTTGAACACTCTCTATTAAATTTTTGTCCTTTTCAAGTTTCGGTGACCACACGACGTTTCCAAACTCTAGGTTCGGGCGCACGACAGCAACATTCAATTCCCAAAGACTGCAATTTCCGCAACAGCCGCTCATGTGGGACACTGTCAAATGCCTTGGCAAAATCGAGGTACACTGCATCTACTGGCTCCCTTTCGTCCAGCAGGCGGGTCCATTCGTTCAGAGTAGACAAGAGGTTAGTGGTGCAGGATCTCCCGGCAATAAAGCCATGTTGACAGTCTGATAGGAGATTATTAGCAGTCAAATAATCTATCAATCGATCCCTCACAACAGATCCATTTTATTGCAAACGACACTTGTCGAACTGACAGGGCGATAGTTGCCCGGGCAGCTTTTGTCACCTTGTTTGAATAATGGTGTCACTTGAGCTTCTTTCCAGTTAGCCGGCAAGATCCCTTCGTTCAAAGTTTTTCGAAAAAATGACGTCAAAGGGCCGGCTAGGACAGTTGCTAACTCTTTGAGTAATATGGGGTGGAAGCAGTCTGGTCCACATGACTTGTTTGGATTTATAGCGATAAGGCGCTTGAGAACCCCTTCTTCTTGTATTTCAAAACTTGTTAATTTAGTTTTAGAGCCAACTGGGCGCGATCCTCAATAGCTGGAATACTGTTCAAGTCCTCTTCAGTGAATACGCTACAGAAAAACTGATTTAGAACGTTGGCCTTGCCCTCATCAGAGGATATCTTTTGTTGATCTACTTTCAAATCAGAAATACCGTCCTTCATCTTGCACTTCGAGCTAGCGTACAAAAAGAAGGCATTCGGGTTCTTTTTTGCATTTTTAGCAATATTTTTTCGAGGGTTTTTACTGCGGTGCGGCAGCTTTCTTTAGCTTGATTTCGAGCTCTTACATATAGGTTATAGTCAGCATCGCTACGAGTCTGTAAATAACGTTGGTAGGCTTCCTTCTTTGTTTTCAGCTTAGCCAGAACTGTACTGTTCATCCACTGTGTTTTTTTGGCTCCACCAAGCTTAATTTTAGGTACACACGCATCAACTGCAGACATATCCGTGTCCTTGAGAAATGACCATGACTCAGTCACATTCATGTCCTTAAGACAGTTCGAAATATTCAATGCATTCACTGCTTCACGGAGTTTATTATAGTCGCCTTTCACAAAATTCAAACGCTCACGCTTTCGAGCCGTCTTCTCTGTACAGCACTTTAGACTGAAAAACAATGATTGGTGATGGCTTTTGCCCAATGGAGCCTCGTGACGAAGCTCATCTAACATTGAATCATCACTAGTAAACACCAGGTCTAGAATATTGGGAGACTGTTTACTTCTATAATGGGTTGGTTTATTAACGTGCTGGACTAGGAAGGAGTCTCTCACAGACTCCATGAACAAGGATGCTGGGTGATTCTCATCCCTTGGAGAGGATCCATCTGTCCAGTCTAGCTCTGGATGATTAAAATCACCAACGATCAAGGTGTGTGACCTACGGAAAGCCATGTTCGGTAAAAGACTGTTTAGTACTTTATCGTTATCAGAGGAACTGTTTGGTGATCTATACACGACGCCTATGAGGAGGTTATCTTTGCCTTTGAGAGAAAGTTCGCACCACACTGATTCTCAAGCTGATTGATGCTCTGCAGATAATTTGATTTGCTGGGCCCCATAAGAGGTTCTAACCCACAGAGCTACACCTCTACTGCACTGCTCTTCATTTAAGTTATGAAAACAATCAAAACCTGGCAACTGAAATTCAACAGGTACAATTTTCCCCCGTGATTTTTAGGTGTTTCTGTAATACAAATAATTTCAATGCACTCGTTTTCGATCACAGTTAACAGCTCACTTTTTTTGTTCAAAACAGAATCTGAATTTGTGTAAAAACATTTTAAATCTTTTTGTGCACTTTCACTTTGATGCATGCGTTTACTTCTTACATTATTTATAGGCCTGAATTTATGGACATGACTTCTTACTTGTCTACCAGCTCCGCTGACTGACCGTGTGTGGCCGGTGTTATCTTGACATCGTGAGAGTGGTTGACCTGAGTCTCCGTGTTTTTCCGCCTGAGTCTCTCCTGTAATTTCTTGCGAAAATGTGCTCTCTCTAAAGGGGTAGCATTCTTCTTAACAAAGACTGATTTAAACTCTGGGAATTCACTTAGTTTTCTCGCAGCCTTAAGCACATGTCCGGCCTGGGCTGTGTAACACTTTCACTAAAGGCTTGATTCATTCTATTTGCACACTCTTTTACTGACTTCGCTGAAATTCGTTTATTCTCTGACACGTTTTCTTCCATTTTTGGCGAAAATAAATCAGTACTCTTTCGCATCAATTGCGTTCAGGTCATATTGTTGAGTTTTAGTTTCTTTTAACACTATTATCATCGTGCCTTGATTTTTCGACTTAATTTCATCTGAATTCCAGATCCTCGGCTAAAGAATGAATTATTCATTAGAAATCATATTGAATTCAACAACAAATTAAGTACAAATTAATAATAATGATAGCGCTTTAAAAGTTTATTAGGCCGTAGGCCTGTCGCCGATTCTGAACATCGCAGAACATTCACAGCATTTTGCGGTCTTTAACTCGCAACTCACTGCTTCAAGTTCTGCTGTGCTTAAGCCGATTCTGACCAGAAACTGGCGCACAGAGCTGGGATCGAACCCGCACCTCTCTGCGTCAATCTCGATACTCTGAACTTTAACCACTGGGCTGTTATTGTGAAGACAGTAACATCTTGCGATTTGCTCAAAAACTGTTTATTTTCCAAAATCATCATCAATTATAATATTAATATAGAAAATGGAATGAAAGAAATTTATTGTTATATAAACTAGAACCAAGTAGATGAAGTCCGCATTACTTTCAGCGCTTGTATATTCTGTCATGAATGGGTTTTCGTCAATTGTTGTGATCCTCCGCAGTTATCTCGCGGCTACCTTCTACCACCTCGAGGACCGACTGCTCTTGTACGAGGGTCGCAGCCTCCTTCAGCAGAGAGCGAGGCAAGAGCAGTGACGTCACGCGTGACAAGTCGAGGAACGCCTTATACGAGTCCCTGCAAAGAATAAGTGTCTGATCTTATTCAAGCCGGAATATCCAATAGTTCGATAGCACTCGAAATATGCAGTTTGCTCGATGATGACAAATTCATTGACCACACTACTAAATCAAGAAATTTTTATGAAATAATATTAACTGAAATTGACGTGTACAATTCTTTAATGAGCAAATGCACCGGCTAAATTCTGTTCTGTATTGGAATACGTGAATATTATGAGGCAAAAGTGTGATAAGAACCTGCCGTTTTCTGTGTAGGAAAAAATCAAATTGCCATGAAATGTAAAACATCTTATTTTAAATTGTACTGAATTATTACGGAATGTATAATCTAATTAACCTTCGAGCGTGGGAATAGGCAGGCATCGAGCAACAAGGAATTGAGCATTCCAAGCAAGTTAGTTATTGCATGAATCACGATCCTGCAATTTCAACGATAAAATTGACCATCAAAACCATGTGCAACGGCACAGAAAGTGAAACTATGTATTAAAACGCATACACTAGCATACTACAGAAATAAATTGGACTCCAACTGATGCAAGAAGATCACTCACGAGAGCGTAGCTTTTAGGTATGGCACCACTGCCCCGCCTCCCAAACCTTTCGCGGTGGGGCCAATCTGCTGCTGCACCATCATTAGATGCTGGACTAATAACAATCATACAATAGTATTAGTTACAAAATAATGAAATAAAGTGAATATTTAGTACTAGTAAAATAACATATAAATGGCACGTAATATTTATACACATGAATAAGTCTGATTGATAGAGATTCAAGTGTTTAGTTTACAAAGAAATAAAATTACGTCAAAGTTTATGTTCAAAATCATCACGGTCGTCACAGATTTCTTACATCGCCACTTGGTGAGGGTAATGTCGAACTTGACGAGGAGCTTCACGAAGCGGTAAGGTTCACAGTAATCAGCCTCATCACATAGCATCGTCACCAGCAACGCGCCCTGCATAATGTCATCAGTATAGTGAGAGTTGATAAACATCTTGTTGGATCCATTCAACAGGATTTGTGTACCGAATCACAGCTTGGTAAAAAAAATCCAAGCATTAGTCTTAGCAATATCGTTTTACGATAATTTCGTACAAATTATATTTTGATCATTTTCGTTCAAATATATCGTAGAAATTAGTAGTGTATATAAGTGCCTACGCTGAAGAATAGGCCAAGTTTGACCTGTCGCCGATTCTTGTCATTTTCGTGTCTTGTGTTAGGTGATCTAAAATCTGTCTTTTTGAGCAGATCTTTTCAAAACTGGCGTTGAATTGAATAACTACTGCATTCAAATTATGCAAAAAATATTCAGGATAGCTCACCTTGAATGCCTTGTACGAGAGCCGCCGCTCCCCACGCTCCAGACACTCTGCGTAGGCGGTCTCCTGAAGGAGGGATTCGAACTGGCCGGCAGCGGCAGCCTTTTGAGCCTGCATGGTGTAGGTATGCAGCGTTCTTTAGTGTGGTAAGGGGACATGCTTGCGAATGTTGGGTGCAAGTCTATATTTTTTAATAAATAGATCACTACCGAGCTAGCAAGTACCTAGAATGTTATTCGTCATCTATAAATTCTCAAATCATTAACTTAAAATCTTACATTGTTGTTTTTAAATTCAGGCTCTTCATTGATAGTTCTCACCTCGCCCGGCTTGTTATCGATGAAGTTTTTCAGTGCTTGCTGGTACGTGAGCCAGAATCTCTCGCCACTGTTATCGCGGTCGTAGATTTCCTCAAGCCAGCTGTTGACGGCCAGCAGCAAGGTAGGCTCCGATTCGGTGGAGTCTAACTTTTCTAAAATGTCGTCATTGCCGCGTAAATAAAAGCGGTAGTCCGTCCTGTTAAACGGGATGCGGTCTTTCTGCAAGGAAAGTGAACGGTACCAGTATGTTGTATTCGTATCAATTATCGTTGCTAGATGATTGTTTACATTTTTCTAACGGATTTTGAGTGAGGTATTCGTTAAAAAAAAACACAGAACAAACAAGATTTTCGGTGAAGTTATTAGCATTAAACACTTCATTGGTGCTAAATGAGCAATAAAACTCGATTTCATTGTACTTGTTTGTGTGAAACCTGGCGTTATAAATACCACCAAATTTTATCATTTTCTCTGAGAGACTCGGAGCCTCGGAAAGAAACTGGGTTGGAAATATTTCATTTTACGCGAAGAGGGGCTTATAAAAAACTTACGGTAAAACCTTGGAAAAACGGCATACCTTACACGCTGAGTTGAAATACTCACAGTGCCCACAGGCTATCTAACATAAAAAATCTTATTATCAACAATAGTTACGATGCTAGTGATTTCTCATTAATAACGAACACTTATGCCACTAACAGGCCTGACGCCAACGATGTTCTCGATGTAGCGGAACTGGTGTGACTGGAAGCCGCAACATTCTAGTTATTTCTAACTAATACCTAACGCAAATACGCCACTAACAGGCCTGACGCCAACGATGTTCTCGATGTAGCGGAATTGGTGTGACTGGAAGCCGCAACATTCTAGTTATTTCTAACTAATAACTAACACAAATACGCTACTAACAGGCCTGACGCCAACGATGTTCTCGATGTAACGGAACTGGTGTGACTGAAAGCCGCTGGCAGTAACATTCTAGTTATTTCGAACTAATAACTAACACAAATACGCCACTAACAGGCCTGACGCCAACGATGTTCTCGGTGCAGCGGAACTGGTGCGACTGGAAGCCGCTGGCAGTAACATTCTAGTTATTTCTAATTAATAACTAACACAAATACGCCACTAACAGGCCTGACGCCAACGATGTTCTCGATGTAGCGGAACTGGTGTGACTGGAAGCCGCTGGCAGTAACATTCTAGTTATTTCTAACTAATAACTAACACAAATACGCCACTAACAGGCCTGACGCCAACGATGTTCTCGATGTAGCGGAACTGGTGTGACTGGAAGCCGCTGGCAGGGGCGAGATGGTCACGGAACTCCTTGAAGTCCAGAGGCGTCATGGACTCCAGCAGCGGGAACTGCGTCGTCGTGTGCTGAACGACACAGCGCAACGAAATTAATGTTATCAGTAATCAACAATTTACTTCGGAAATTAGAATTCCTTTTTAAAGAATTTAAAAAGCCTAGTAGAAGCTTTGATTATTACATAGAACTTACATTCATTTTTCGGTAGCGTTTTCATTTAACACATGTCGATACTATAAACCTCTTATACGTCCATAATAATTGATAATAATTCATCGCCATAAAAGGAGACACATTTTGTCGCAGGAAAAAATTAAGTTCAAGCAGTCTATTTCCTCTAATGACTCGTGAACAACTCGTTTCTCAATTGACGTAGGCTAAATTATATTTTTCCTGTATGATATATACTGCAATAGCTATAAATTCTAGTTTTCCGTGGGATTTATGATAAAAATTTAAAGTGAAAATCATAGCATTATATAATACTCGTAATACACAATACTCGTTGTGACTCAAAATACTCGTATTCATGAAGAAATCAATTGAAAAATGCGATAACCACTGAACGTTGCTCCCACCTCGAGTATCTGAGTTGCTCTCTCTAGCCTCCTGACAGCCAAAGGTAGGGAAAGATGATCCTTCAGCAGCTCCATCACGCTTCCCAGCTCCTTCAGTATCTGCTTGAACCACAGCTCGAACACTGCACAATGCACATACAAACGCCAATACGCAGAAATACGGACATATGCATGGCATCCCTCAGGTAAAACCTTGCCGTTCTAAAGAAATTTCAAGTAGTTTATGGCGTCAATCAACCATGCAAGCAGAAAATTTTCATGGTAGTGAAATTTCCTACGTTACTAGGAACCTCAGGCAGCACGGCAAGAATTAATACATCTGAGCAATCATGGCACTCCATCTATAATCAAAATGCTCGAAAGTTTAAATACCACCGTTCCATTCGAAACACTATACTAACAACTGATAAATTTCGATATAAATAGCTATCAAATTGCAAAATTTATTCTCTCTCTCAATCGTCAAGACATCATGCAAATTAATTACCTTGATGCACCGTAATGAACAGGTGCTCATCGTGGCACAGGTTACCTAGCTTCTCAGTAACAGGCTTATTGAGACTCAGTAAGTTGTCGAGCCCGAGATAGGTTCGGTAGTGCATTTCCTGGTTCCCTTGTAGATCGTTGTCACAGTTGTTATCGCTGTTGATGAGATCAATGAAGCAAAATAACTATGTTGTATATGAAAATTCCAAAAGGCTCGCAAAATCAGAGATCAATTATGGAAAGTATTTCATTAAAGTCAAAAGGCAAAATAGTACTTTCAGCATCACAGCGTTCATCGTTCAGTTCAATGTTGCGTTTCGTTGAACAATGTTTTTTTTTTCAATTATTCAATAATGATTACAAAATTTAAGGTCAAAACTAAAACAATAAATGGGAACTGGACATTGAACAAACTAAATAAATAATACTAGCGTAGTACGGGAGAGTATTATTGTTATTATTATTATTATTCTACGAAGCCGTTATCGTACTTCTGGTGCAAACGAACTTCGAGGGCATGCTTAAAAAAAAATTCAAAAGCAAGAGAAAAATAAATAGGCACGAGAAATGATGAGAACGAATAAAAATGGCTAAGCACTTGATTCATAGGCTTTACGAAATAGTTCCGTCTTCAGGCGTTGACGAAACACCTGCAACGAAGGAGCTGAAGTTACGGAAGCCGGCAGACTGTTTCAGGTACTGGCGGCGCCGACCGGGAACGCTCTGTCGCCGACGGTAGAATTGAATAGAAGTGTCGGCACTGAAGAAACAGGCCCATGGTGCTGCCGATTCTTGAATTTTTCGTGACTTGATTCACAAGGGATCCGGCCTTTGTAACCCGATCTTTCCATAACTGACGATTAATTGAGATATCTGCTGGACTTATTGCATATGGGCGGTCCGTAATTTGCTAGGCATTTTAAGACTGAACATATGCTCCTGCATAGCTTCGTCTAGTCGCGATAGACGTGTAGGAGAAACGACGAGGTCCGCTGTTGATGAACGTAATCGTCTTCTAGAAGGAAGATCCGACACGCGCTGCAAACATTCCGTGAGATAAGGAGGCGCTAGACCGTGAAGGCATCGGAACGTTAGAACAGCGATCGTGAATTGCGTGCGCTACTGCATGCGAAGCCAGTGAATATCGGGCAATATCGGCGCCACGTGGTTGAATTTTCGTTTATTGCACAAGAGTCGCGCAGCAGCGTTCATTACGGATTGCAGTTTATCAAGTGCCGTGGTCGGAAGTCCATACAGTGTGGCATTACAACAATCCGATCGGATCAGAACGAGCGCCACCACGAGGGTCTCGAAGGCAGGTCTCGAGAGACCGCGGCTGAAGCGGTCAAATTGCTATAATATATATAGCCATCAAATTACAAAATTTATTCTCTCTCAATCGTCGACGCAGCATGCAAATTAATTACCTTTATGCACCGTAATGAACAGGTGCTCACCGAGGCACAGGTTACCTAGCTTCTCAGTAACAGGTTTCTGCAGACTCAGTAAGTTGTCGAGCCAATATTTTTCTGAGCCCATATTATTCATAGTAAGTTGTCGAGCCCATATATTATTCATCGCAGAGCGCCAAAACAAGCTGTGGTGGCTTCGGCAATGTGACTGTTCATAGAAAGTTCAGCCAGTGACTGTTCATAGAAAGTTCAGAGTCCAGCAGAATGACAAGGTTGCGAACCGAAGACGCAGGAATGACGAACTCGTTGCCCACGCGAACAGGGTTGGCCGGAAGCTGATGATGGCGCCGAGCAGTCGTAAACCAAATAGTCTGTTTTTGATGCATTGAGCTGGAGCCTGTTAGAATGTATCCAGTCTGAGACGGCATCCATGCAGACAGACATCTGGTCCTGCAATGCTGCAGCGTCAGCCGGCGCACAGTAGCCATAAATTTGGGTGTCGTCAGCTAACATATGCGGATACAAACTATGTGAATCACTTTTGTGCAATACATCGACAATTTATAATAGAAAGAGGATCCGGCCGAGAACTGATATCTTGGGTACGCTGCAAGTTACCAATGATGGCGAAAAAGAGTTCCCGCGTCGAACGCAGAGAAATCTATTGTCAAGATAGAATTTGAACCACCGGAGCACTAGGAATGAGATTAAAAACCAAGATTCAAGGACAAACTCACTCCGAGTGACGTTTTCATAGAAATTTGCTTTTTAACGCCAACGATATTTGGTGGTAGTTTTTATCGTTTCATACATCGTAATGAATTTACCATATTATAATAAACAACTATCACACAGAAAACTCACGGTTGCTGTGCAGCCATGAAAGGACATGCCATGACGCTGATGCCGAACGAATCTATTTCATCAGAAGCATTCGTTTTCAATGCGTGCTCCTTGCGCGCAGTCAAACTTAACCTGTTGTCAAACAACCTAACCGAACACAGGCGTCTGGGCTGGCGTGCTTCGTATTATATAAACTGTTTCGAGAGAAGTTATCACGTTTTATTGTTCAAAGGTGTCAATTGACTGAGTACAAATATTTTTCATTGTGACTTAATAATAATACAAATTTAGATCGTCTTTACTTTGATTAAATGATTATGTTTCAGACATTTCATTCATTGCAATGTTGTTTGTTATTCCGTTTATTTTGAATCCTTAATTCTTTTAATTCCTAATATGATAGTTGAAGAAAAAGACTAATTGCCTTTTCTGAATGCGCTCTTTTATTTCTAATTCGAGATGAATTGTAAATTGCTTATCCCGAGATACATAGCTGTTCATTTTTCAATGGATTTGTTTCGGTTAGTGGGCTGATTGCCTACAATTATAAATTTTGAAGAATGCATCTAATGGACAAGAAACCGCTACTGCAGCGTCGCATGACGACTCTCCTCAAAATGTATGCGCCACAGTTGGATGAGGAAGTTAGCGTCCGCATATGTTAAATACGGTCGTAGGAATTATTTAAACATCAAACAACAAATAAAAGAACCTTTTAACACCATACCGGATTACACAATCTATGCAGGAAGCAATATTACGTAACAAAATGTGATCAATGGAATAATTTCATTAAAATATAATCAGGGTACCTAGTAGAGTCATTTGTGCCGAGAGAATTTTATATTGTCATTTCAATTAAACGTACGTGTACGTGTAACGGCTACGACGACAAAATTCGGGCTGCAGAAGGTTCAAAGAAAGTGTTAACTTAATGCGCTCAAGTTACGTAACGTTGCCTCGGGGCTATTGGAACGGACGAACTGTCTGTGGGACGAAGGCTTGATCAGAGAGAAAAATTGTAAGATATTCGGTTCCATCTATGGAGACTCTGACATAAGGATCGCTGCATATTTTTAAACCGATACCCTGTCTTCACAGCGCGTACACCTATCTTCTTGCAATTTTAATCGATGGTTTCCATGTTTCGTTTCGCTTTTTTTGGTTAGACGTTTTCTTGTTACTTTGTCTTTGGTAATGGTAGGTCTTGATATTTTTCCTGTATATTTAAATTTTCACGGATGACCGTACTTGTAATTCAATACAATTTTTAAACTGAGCTGGCCATAATAGCTTCATTTTTCAATGAAGATGTGATGACTTCTCTTGATGCTTTCTTGGCTTTTAAATTCTTGATGAACTTGCGATTTATGGAGATTAATCATATAAGTTCTTAAATCCATACGTTATGTAACAGTCTAATATTTCAGTTCGTTCGTCTTTTTGGGGCTCTTTATCTGATCTTTCAGTTCAATGACGCGACCTGTTTTTATGGCAGCGTGAAGATAAATGCCTTCAACTACGTCCTGAGTTTATGGCTTAACTATACGTATCAAGTTTACGTCTTGTGTAAAAGCATGAACATACGATAATTAAGAGTAGAAAATATTTTCTAACAGCATAAACGTAACCGCGTCAAGTGTCATCCTTGACCCTGAAGACTAGAGATAAGCCATATTTTACAGCTTTGCCAAGCAACAGGATCTCAAACTTTCACGTGTTACCAACAGACCCCACGTGCAATTTGTGGACAGAAACCCAAAATGTACTGGAACTACATTCGAAACGAACGCGTTATCTACGTTTCAAGCATTGTGGTCATTTATTTTCAGCATACCTACGTACTCTTATTCTTACATGTTTAACATTACTTAACCACCGCAACCCGCATTTAGATAGCACGAGCTGTTATTCGGTCAGGAGACATGCCCCGTGATAAGGAAATTACACGACTTCTGACGAGCATAAAGACGAGTCAGAAGACGATTAAAAGGTTATACAATTGAATAGTGGAGATTTTGTGGGGGACGATTATGGACGAATTGGTTCATCAATCTATCGATTATCAACTGTATGAATTCGGAAGGATTACGACACAAACTCGTTTGATAATTTTAATAAAGAATGGAAATTAAGGTTTTCACGGGTACACAAATCATTAATTGGCTCGAAAGAACTTAATATTGAGGATTCATTCTTCAATGACGGTTCTATAAACAGAGACTCGATAACATGCAATTTGATTCCAATTACGATAGTCAGCATTTAGTAGCAAAAATACGACATTTAGTACATAATACAAAGTTACAAGCGTCCTGCATCAATCGATAAATGAGGTAATTACAGGTCCCTGCATAGCTTTGTACTGTATGTACTGTCGAGAATTCGCTCTATGAACGTTATATAAAAAAATTCTCATAACTAACGCTTACCTCTATCAAATCTTTCATTAATATCATACATAAACTCTAATAATGTCAATCATATTATAAAAATTGTATAAAATCGTAGTCGATGGGGAAGTCATACTTCCCATACAGATAAATTCCTCCTTATATACAACATTCAATAGAGATTTGAGAAAACCATACAAAGCTTTTAAACGTTGTAATAAATGTTCTCTTGTCATAGCTTACACCTACAGTATTCAACTAAAAGTGAACACAAACTGGCAGCACCTCAACAGTGTTTATACTGAGTACACAAGAATGAACTCCTAAAATTCAACAGTTTGATTCCAAGACAGAAGCTCTAAGATGACGAAGTCTCACCATTGTTCAAATCAAGTCATTACGCAAGTAACGCCATACATTATTTTTACGACGCAGCCAAGCGAGTCGCCCAAATATATTCCGCATGCAAGCATAGCCTACTCTGACATGTCTGGTAATACATAATACGGGCCATGAAGACAATGCGCAGGGCAGCTCTCCGTCAAGCGTTTCAAATTGTCAACTCTCTGACACCTAGCATCACTCGAGCACAACCCTTGATTTCGTTGGAGCAATGGAGTTTACAAACATGACATTATATTGTATACCAATAATAAATGAACAAATGATTTTAAAATTAAGTATTGGCCAAAGTTTGGTTCGATCTAGCTTGTCGCTTACTGCAATTCGTCTGCAACTCAATACATACATCCTGAAAGTACCTAATAGAAACATTCCACATACAAAATAATGATAATAAATAATAGAGGTTAACATCCGGAAGTAGTTAAATTAATCTGATTACTATTTGGAAGTATACACAGCCAATCAACTTCCTTGGCAAATAACTATAGTAGGAATTTATTGCGAACAAATTCCAACTTGAGAAGGTCGCATATTGAGTATTGTTGAGCATGTGAACTCGTCAGGCAAGACACGCACGTCAACAGAAAACAACGGAAATAGGTTGGCAGATATTGGCGCCAAAATTTGCATATTGTAACAATAGTTAGAAATTGGGCACAACAAAGACAAAAAAAATTCCACCAAAAGAATTAAAATATAGTAAGCAATAACGCTAGAACAGCCATAGTTTCAATGCTGTTAGGATAATTCACCAAATAAAACAGAAGATCTGAAAAACGAATTAGAACATATTCATGTAAAGCTGGAGACACTGATAGCAAACACGAAATTTGAAGCTTAAAAATACAGGCCTTTCAGGCCTGTATTAAATAAAATTCACTAGTAGAGCAAAGTGCAATACCAGCGAATGAGTTGCACGAGCTTCTCAACCTTATATGCGCTTCTCAACCTTACAAAAGTCCTAGCACAAATCATAGTTACATATCGCTACCAGCGATAGGTAGGTATATTATACTATATAGCTACCTATAGCAAAATACTTTTAAATAACTTTGTAGACACCGCACAACACCTGTAACAGATGCAATCATCCACAGCTCACGTATAGTTTATCACAGCCACACTATGAACAAATTTATTAATAAATTAAAATCATCAATATTCATTCTAACCGTTAAGTACATGTTAAATATATTGGTAGTGTTTTTGGCACAAAGATACCGGACTTTTAAAATATAATTGACTACTTCGAGAATCTCAAAATTAATGACTCGTCACCTCACTTCAATTAGGTTCAACTAACGATGCAATATTTGCTCTCTTATTGAAATTGATCCGCCTTATATAATTTAAATTGAATATAAAACACGCAGTTTATGTCGAGACAACAGTAGGAATTTCACAAGGGTAACGTTATGTGATTTTGTTCCGAGATCCTTATACAGTTTGCAGCGTCTAAGAATTGTTGTTTACATACAAATTGAAAATTAGAACATAACTCGCATGCAAATCTACAACTAAACGACAAACGGAAGTCTCCAATCAAGACAGAACAACAGCCGGAAAATAGATCTAAATTATGAAACGTTCGAAAAAACGATTTCCGGGATTTAATAATCCTACACAGCAAAATAGAAAAGCCCTACTTAAATTAACCATTACAAATTTTAATTGATTTGACCAATACGTTAATATAAACAATAAGAACAAGACTGACTGACCAGGTTTTAATAACCCAGTATGGATGCCGCGACTTGAAAAATTGATATACAAAATTTGTAGCAAGAACCATTGAATGGGAGGAAAAGGAACAAAACTATCGCTGATATGGACGGGTAAATAGATAGAATGAAATGATTCTTCGTCATTCAAGGAATGTAAAGAAATTAGTCATGAGATCGTAGTCAGAAAAGTTATGCGCCTTACATTGCTAATTAACGATATCCGGGGCGCATTAACGAAATAAATATGGTTTCCTCTGGACGATTGAGTCCAAACTATAGCTTGACATAACTGGATCATTTAGAAAATCGTTTATCTATTAAGCAATTCTAGCTTCTGCTACAAGTTCCTACAGACGTTTTTTAAAAATGCAGCAGCAAATTGTCCGACAATTTGACCGTCAAGATAACGGTCGCCAAAATTTTATGACAAAATTGATATGAGTGACTTGAAACTTAAGAAAATAATTACCACGACTTTACAGGACATACGTCCAAAACAAATGAAGCCTGCATTACACAATGTTGACACTCCACTAACAGTACAATCAAATTTACACAGCCTGCAGAGAAACGCCATTGTACGAAATAATAACAAATTTAAAATTCTTGTCAAAGTTACGCACTCAAGCTGTTTGACTAGGAAATTACTAAGAGGAGGTACGTAGCATGTAGTTGTTCCAAAACGCGGTGTGGTGTACAGTTGTTAACTTACTGCGGTTAAAAAAAATTACAGATAAAATATGCGAAATTGTTTCCTATGAAAGAAAAGGCTAAGATATGAGAAATAGTTAACGTCAAATTTAAAGAAACAAAATTCAAGACTAGAGCCTCATATAATTCAGAATTTTAGCGAGGCGCAGCATAGAAGAAAATTAGCAATAATAATAATAATAAAATTTTAAGCATAATTTAAAATAAATCTACTGCCTTAGGGTACCCACACAGTGAAAGCAGGTTAGCCCGTGCGGGCAACGTGCCACAAGAATGAACATAGGATAATAATGTAAGTGTTCGTGGTGAAAACCTGTACGAATAGGCCAGCGCCAGGCCTATTTATTTCAATTTCAGGCGCCAGCCTCAGCAGGTAACCAGCACGCTGGCAACCTGCTTTCACTGTGTGGGTACCCTAACACCATGTAGTACACTCAGAAGTTGAGTGACTAACAAATAACAATTGCATACACATGTAGCTGATCAAATGCAGAATTGCTCTCCAGGGTTTACGGGTTCAGGGCTTGGCGACCTAGGGCGCCAAGTAACATTAATTATCTCATTCTCCAGAAGGGGATGGTCGGGCGGCATTTGCTCCGGCCTCAGATCGTTCATGACTGCGTCATTCATAGCCTGAAAGTCTTGATCAGCGTGTCTGAGGAAAAGAAGAACATGTATAAACCTTAACACCAAAGCTGAAAACTAGGCGCACGTTAGCTTTGACTTAGAGCATAATGAAACTGATGAATTATCTACAAAAAATATATTGAAAAATACCAATATTCGCAGTATACACTGGAAAATGTTGGTTGCAATAACTGAATAACAGTTAACAAATCGTCAAAACATATACGGAAGCAACCAGAATCATGATAGCTTCAAATAATCTCTCAATTAATACACACAGATCTTGCATTATCATCATTACAAAAGGAGTCGATATGACGGATCTAAGGAAGCAATATAAGGTCATACAGAAAACACTAACTTAATCTTCACAATGTCTACATCAATAAAAATGTATGCACGATAATCTCGTCAGCAGAAATATTAAGCAAATTTGGCAAGCCAATTTATTATACTTTAACTTACTCTGCACTTTCCAAAATATTCAACGCTCTATTGACTTCCTCTGCAGCATTAACGGGCGCAAGGTTCAGCTCTCTTGGGCCCTCACTAACAGTTATCATATCATTCTCCAGAAGGAGGCTGTCATGGGGCATTTGCTCCAGGGTCTCGTCGGTCAGCAACGAGTCCATCAGAGCCTGAACGTTTGGATCAGCTTGTCTGACGAAAAAAAGAGTGTAAACCTCATGGCATCAGCGAGAAAATAAATGAATGTTAGCAATTAGTCAGAGCCAGAAAGAACTGATGGGTCAGAGCCAGAAAGAAAATATTTCGAACAACATTATTGAATACACGGAAAAATGTTAGTTGTATCAATATTAAAAAGTCAACAAAAATATGCATGAAACCAACCATAAATATCAATATGTTAAACAATTGATATGTTATACAATATAAACATATTGTATATTATATCGATCAATATAACAACCTTATCACAATAGCTTCTATGAATCTCCCAATCCAAACACGCATATCTAGTACTAACACCAATACAAAAGCAGTCGCTATAATGGATCTAAGAAAGCAAATGAAGTCACAGAAAGATATGACGTTGTGAAGAAAAAATCTTCACAACTTCAATACTAAAAAAATGTATTCTCAATTATCTCGTTCCTAGGCCTGCTCTGAAAATTCATCAAAGAATTTACTTCAACTTACTCTGCAATGTCCACATCCAATTCAATGCTGCCTTCTGAGGCAACCTCCCCAGCAGCAGCCACCACGCAATCATTAGTAGAAAACACGTTAAAAATATCAGTTCCATCAGCGTTGTTATTATCCGACTGATGATTCGATGTCTCTTGATGCACAATTGGGCTAATCAACCGCACTGGTCCGCTAGATGTCATCTCCACTAAGGGAGCTGCACTGGCTGCAGATCGTTCAGCTCCACTACCTGGGAGCCACTCAGACGGAGCTGCTGTGCCGCCTGCATCATCAGCTGCAGTGTTGACTAATGCCGCCGATGTGTTCTCATTGCCAAGATTGCGGCCACTCTCCATGCCTGTCAGCTCAAGCAAGGAAGCTGCATTGACTGCAGATCGTTCAGCTCCACCACCTGGGAGCCGCTCAGACAAAGCTGCAGTGCCGCCTGCATCATCAGCTGCAGTGTTGACTAATGCAGCCGATGTGTTCTCATTGCCAAGATTGCGGCCACTCTCCGTGCCTGTTAGCTCAAGCAAGGGATCTGCATTGACTGCAGATCGCTCAGCTCCACTACCTGGGAGCCACTCAGACAAAGCTGCAGTGCCGCCAGCATCATCAGCTGCAGTGTTGACTAATGCGGCCGATGTGTTCTCATTGCCATGATTGCGGCCACTTTCCAAAGTAGTCTGAGCCTGAAACACAAAGGAATGGAACATCAATAACATGCTAACAAAATGCCATTTAAATTGAATGCTACAGACTATGCCAACACCATATCGTTACATGGATTTATTCATAAATAATATTAACCAATAGATGCGGCTTTATTTCATATTGAGGCACAACAAATTTTCCACAGGCAGATGATTATGGTTTGCATACTTGAAAGGGGAATTTAAATCTAAAACATTCTCTTATCAATAAAGGAAATTATACATCTGGCCCTTTGTAAAACAAAATGCAAACATCGAGTTATCAAGTAGTTCTGAACCTTTTATAATGAAATTACTCACTTAGCTTTTCAAGTGAAGTAAATGATACAAATGAATACCAAATGTAATGATTAAAATAAAGTAAGATTTTATTTTATTTGTATTGTAAGTGGACAACACACTTGAATGAATTAAATTATGGTAACTCAAATACTTAAAAATTAGTACCTACAGCAGAGCAACTACTTTCAAATAAACTTGATTTGACAACAAGAAAAGTTTGATGGATGCAACGTTTTAATTCAAGAATAAGTGTAGATCTGGTCAAGAAATTTTTCATACCATTATAGATGGAGAAAACTTGCAAAAGAGGATAAAACATGAGTAACTACCAATTTAGTAGTCAAAGGATCAGTGACGTATACTGGATAGAATCATTGTCAGCAATAATTTATGCATCAAGAATTGCCCATGGGCGAGAAAAGGTTGGAGAGCACAGGTTCTAAGCTGTCTTAAAAAATCATGTAATGCAAGGCAAAAATAGGATGATAGCTTATCAAAGTGTGAATTAAAGTAAAAAATACGAAGTGCACATAATCCATAAATTTGTTTACAGGTTTATAGTACTTTCATCCCCCAACATCTCTTGATTGGTATAATGGGCTGATGGAAATTCCATTCACTCATGATAAAAGAGATTTTCTAAATACAATCATAAAGTAGTATACTATATATATTATCCTTATATAAAAATGACTGAATAAAATATGAAAATTAAAGCAACCAACCGCTATCATCTAGCCTGAGGAAGATTACAGCACATAGCAAGATCCACATATATAAGCTTGCAATTGAATCCAGACTAGACGGTTTATCCTAAGTCAAGAGAGCAAGTTTTACATATATAATCTTCATTAAAAAGAGCAAATGCTTCTCTCAAAAAACATCGATCATAGCAACAAGTACAACACAATATCTGCAGCTTGTTATCATTGTTGAATCGAAATTTGATAAAATTTCAAAGCAGACCAGAAAATAATAAAAATGTCAACTATAACCTGAGGCTGTATGCGCAAGATTGCAGATGGCTTAGCAATTACCAGCTTGGGAACAGGTGACACTCCATCACTTTTACTGAAAATAATAAAAGAAAGTGACCGTCAAGTGCAATACCATATCAAGTAGTATAAGGTTAAAGTTTCAACATTACTGACATAACTATGGCAAGTAGCTACATTTAGTACATCATTTCCAACAATAACCCAAACACAAAAGAAAATCTTTTTGAAGTAGAGAAAAACATATTATTTTCCCACTCATGAGAAATAGTGAATTTTCAATGCAATCGTCTACTCAATAATGCACTCACAATGAAAAAATGCTGAGGAAATTACATAATGTAACAGAAGATGAAGATTTGAGAGCAACTTTAAAACATTTTTGTAGAATTTAGGGAAGAAAGTCAAAAATTTAGTTCAATACATTAAGTTTTAAAAGTCAACACCATTAAATGCTAGATTGACAAACATTACACCACAAACATAATGCAATGCATATGCATTGTGCTGTCTGCCTGAAGTCTGTTTGCCATTTCTAGTTTATTGCAATCATTCAAATTTCAACAAACATAAACATGCAAGTAATGAACAATAAAGACAACTTCAAGTTTGTTGCACTGCCCACTAGTCATGCCTGATACCACAAAAATGACATACCATACAGAACAGAAAATGCCGCTCATACCTTTGCTTGAATGGCGGAGGTGAAGATGGAGGCTCACTGTCTCTCTTGCTCGCCATGTCAAAATACAAGTGCTGCTCCCAAGCTTCTGCACATAAATAGTTGAATTAATGCCAAAAGAGCTGGTTAGTAAGAGTAACTTTTGAGTCAATGTTACAGTAATGGGCATGGTGGCAAACAATCATGCCTATTTTATTCAGGGTCAACATAAGAATCTTGAATGAGAAATAGGTATATATCTACATTTCACTATAAATTATGAATGTAAAATGCATGTAAGGTGGACATGGGAAATGCACCTGTTTTATGAGCAAGTGCAGGTCTGGGAGCAAGAGCTCATTCAACCTCACACGGTGCTAGCTTCTAGAGCACTGCAAGACTTCTAACTAATAATACTCGACTCCAGTTGAACACCATCTGCTTCCGTTACCAGCTCGCATTTAGACACAATAATAATGCATTGGGTCAACATTCTGGCAAAAAAGGTTTGATGACTTGTTCTTATCCTGGGTTCTGACTTGTTTCCCCTCCCACATCCTTGAAAAGACATTTTTTCATTATGCCAGACGAAATATGAAGAAAATATTTTATAGAAAACCATCTGCTTTACAAAATGAAGTACAATTTGGAGTTTTACTTTCAACCATATCATTACTACTTGAGGAAAACTTGTAATGGAACATACAAAAATTTTTATACTTTGCTGGTCACTAGACACCATTCATGAGTTGATATGAATTAAGATTAAAGTACAGCTTGAGAGCATGCAGGGTCTGAAATATTTATGGTAATGCACGTTTTTCTTATTTCTTAATGAAACAAAAAGGTGAATTATTTTTTTATTGGATGAGCTAATAGCCAAGAACTATGTACCTTAACAATTCTCAAACATATTTATTCAATATGACCACACCACTATGAACTAATGAACTAACAGACAGTCATGAATGAATATGCTCTGCTAAGGGGTGCAATGTGCTTTGCTAATGTGTGCTAATGTGCAAGGCTAATGTGAGCTACTGTGCAATGCTCTTGTTCAAGAATATCTTGCAGTAATAAAAAAAATTCATCCAATTTTAATTTTTAAAAAAATTCCTTGGCCACAATCTAAGCATTTGGCTCTCTGACATTTGACTGACTCATGGTGTCAGAATAAAACTTCAACCACCATATGTAGCAAGATCCGCTATCCCCAAAAATGTGTCTCTTAGACCTGCAATCAAGGTACCAGGCATACGGTACCGGTACATTAAAATTTTGATCAAGGTCATAGGAAAACCTTTATTGGCCATATACTCAATGTAATAAGAGTGACAGCTTGTGCTCTGCTGACAGCATGGTTGCTTTGCTTGGTACACAGCCATCTTCTACTCTCATATCAATGCAATCTGAGAGTCTCGAGTGGGCATGCAGGCAGTGCCTGAAGTGTGAAGATTCTCATCTCTGCAGGCTGCAAGAGCCCTGTCCATGTCCTCCTGCCTCCACAATCTTAGTTTTGTTTCTTTTTTGAAGTCATCTTGAATGATACAAAATAATTATATTAACATACTTGAACAAATGCATGTACCATAGTGATCACACAAAATAATATACAAAGTTGGTTTTATAATTCAGTTCTTTTATATGCTTGGAATTATTTTCAATGCTTATTTCAACAGATTTAATGAGGTAGTTTGCCTTATAAATCCTACTTGTTAGAAAGTTGATTTGTGTCATGCTCATCCAAAATGAGCTCAGAAACTTCCATACAGTGCTAAGCTTTGTTTGTGTAACTCCAATTGGCACATGAGTTTTGCGTCCAACTTTTGAAGTCATTTACAAAGTTTTAAAAGTCTAATTGCTAATTATGTGAGAATGTACACGGATGATGAATGTGTCTTACATTATTTCAGGCCTAACTCAAGACATAATTATTGCATTTTAGGGGCTGCATTTAGGCAAATGAATGATTTATTAAGTGTTTTCAATTAATCCTCTCTTTTTGTCCCCAGTGCATTAATACTAATAAAGTGACTGCAAGTTAAAGTTAAATTAATGCATGTGAATAAGCATTGTTGAAGCGAGTCAATTTTCTGTGTTCCTGTTTATCTGGTGCTTATACTGACTTGCCAACCACTCATATAGTCAAATGGGGTAAGACAGGATCGCAGCCTTCATGGGGTAAGAAAGGACCAGCTCATGGCGTGCATTCTAATTGCACTGAATTTAATTTGACAAAAGAATATGTTAGAGCAATCATTGCCTGTCATTTCAGTGCTTGTTTAACCCTCTTCTGCAAATAATGAATTTCTGGCTAATTTTTACAGAAAACCTATGTAAAGAAGGGTCACAAAATAGTTAACCCTGCTTGGGAAATAAGCTCTGTCTAATAACAAAAAAATTTTTGGCCAAGTTTGTGAATGTAGGCAGGTAACCTCAAGTAATAAGCAACTTTTGAGACATGCTAGACATTCCTACCTGCTACCATCACTACCTGACATGTATTATAAAATGGGGTAAAAAAGGACCGGACATGGGGTAAGACAGGACCACTAAATGATCCTGTTTTACTCCACAAGTGGTCCTATCTTACCCCACAAATGGTCCTCTATTACCCTACAGTTTATCAAAAATAGTTTTTAAATGAATATATTATTGTGCAGTCAGTACATGGAGTATTTTGGTCAAAATTTTTATCTTTGGCTCGAACTTCAACTTGTTAGCTCTTTTAATTAGAGAGACTTAGTGCACTATTTTAAATTGCATCAAAGGTATGGAGAAAATAGGGATGTCACTTCCCATTATTGACCTGCAGAACTATGTGCAAGATTGGCTGGGCGGAAAATCATTGTGTGAAATATGAAAAATTAATTATGATCACAACTCTGTGAGAAGGCATGAGCTATGTTTGAAGAAGTGCACCACAAATTCAGTTAGCAAGAAAACTCATGATGTCTGACACTTAAGTTATTATCCATTGGTTTTATTACCAATGTGAAAAATTTTTCAGACAATGACAGTATGACACTAGGTAATGGAATATACAGGACGCATTTAGCAGTGCTCTACAATGAACCAAAGCCAACCCACCTTTATTATGCTTAACAAAGTTTTCTTGTGACAAAAACTCCAATGTGACTGATATTATAGTCGACTTCCTGCAACACAAAACAGTAACAAGTGGTTGTTTAATCAAATAATGTGTTTCTAGATGGATAATATTGAATATCAGATTTGTATTTTTATTAAAAACCTTGTAATATAAGAATAACCAGTTGGTCCTGTCTTACCCCATGCCTGGTCCCATCTTACCCCAATGGGGTAAGATGGGACCAGCTCACTTTTTTTAATCTGTACAGAAAACTATGTTAGATGCAAAATGTCAGAGTTGTAGCTTAGAAGCCTATTGCATAGATACACCTTGTGATAGGTTTAGGATTTTTTAATTATTCATGGTATAGATGCTACGGGCTTGTTAGTGATTTCGGTCCTGTCTTACCCCATCTGACTATATACTGCCTACTGTACATGAGCCTGCTTTCTGGCAATGAAGACTCCCTTGCTGTCCTGTCACTGACCTACTAAGATTATCCTGGCTCTTAAATAGGTGAGTAAAGGGAATACTCTCGCCATGCATCTCAGTCCTAAATTTTAATTATTGAATGTTATCAGTAAATGTTTGTACATATAATCAATCATCCCTTAAAATTGTTTTACAGTTTTGCATTAGGTAGATCAATTTGTTCTTATGTGTTCCTAGTGTACTTATGTGTTTCAACTTTCAAGTGTTATTGCTGGATAGGTTTTATGTTTTCTTGTTCCTGCACTTTTGCAGAGCGGCCAACGTGGGGCATATTCTGGGCCAATTTGGGGCGCATTCTGGCAAGTTCTGAGCTAGTTTGATGCCAGTTCTGGATAAGTGACAGGCAAGCTTTGGGCTCACTGAGCCACATTGCAGTCGAGTCTTGGGCTGCTCTTCAGCTACTTGAGCTGACACTAGAGGCCAGCGGGGATGCCCTTCAAGTCCTGTCTAGCAACTCATGTCAGAACTGCCCTAACATGCCAGTTGAGTCTACCCCACTGCTACTCACAAGTAAGACCTCCGCCATCTTGTTTCTTTGGTGCGGACGCCACTTGATGGACCAGGCCTGACCCAGGGCCTGTTTTGAGCTCTTGATGCCTTGGTTTCATTATTCTTGATTTGATTTATACTACGGATCATTATTCTGGCCCAGTTTAGTTTATTTACTGTGTATCATTATTTATTCTTTACTGTTCAAACCAGTTTGGGCTGCTGGCTATTTATGTCTCATGCTAGGTTCACCCCATCACTCATAGCCCTGGGCTGTCTCATGACTAACCAACTAATTTTCACCTTTCACCTTCATGTACCACTGATTATATTTAATACATGTTTGCTTGGTTCTTCCTCCGTTTGTTTCCCTGAGTTTGTTTTGCTTGGCTTCACGTGCTGGTACTATACCGGCCGGACCGTTGACCTTTAGAGGGGCTGACCCCCAACAGCATTGTAAGAGCTAATTAGTAACAAAAATTCATCTTTACTCCTGCCTCTTACAGCAAATATTGAACAGAAACTTTGTTATGCACCAATTTGCCAGATATATTTAGAATAGATTATTAACAATATTTAAATACCATTAAAATCAGGAAAACAAGCAAAAGGAACCCCTTATTACTGCATTTCACTGCCAAATGACCCTAGATTCCTATGAAAACATTTTCCCAATAATAAAGCATTGCCTGAATGCAAATTTACTTCGCTTGAAAAATTTTTGTCATGTTGATTTCGAATCAATAAACTACTTGCATATTAATTGTTGGAAATGCTTTGCCAATACTATGTTTAACACGTTGACTCCAAAGTGGTATATATTTGTACCAAGAGGTGTATTTCTACAGGTAAATAATTCATGGTTGCCAGATGACCTAAAAAACAACCAAGTCCACCAACAAAAAAAGGCCTATAACTCAATATATACTAGTAATAATGTCACTCGTTTGCTTGAATCGCAAATTCACTGAAAACTTAAAAGCAAAGAAAATTCCACAAAAATTCATAGTATCTTCAAAGAAAATGTTTCGGAGTCC